TGTGCCGCTGGTAACAAAACGGATCGGCTCTAAATCGGAAAGAAGTGAGACTGACCGGCCGATCACCGATCCAGGCCGATCATGAGGAAAATCGGCTGATTCCGATCCCTGGCCGATCGATCAGTGCATCTCTAATCTTAAATTGATAGTTTACCCAAAAATGAAAATTCTGTCCTCACTTGCTCACCCTGCTTTCTTCTGTTTGAATGCAGAAGATGATATTTTGGAGAATAGTTGATGGTAGTCAAGCTATGTTTCCATCCAAAGATGCTAATTTAACTTATGCGGAAAACTGGAATATTGCTTAAAACATTTGTGAATAAACCACCGTTTCCATCCAACGGGTCAAAGAGAACAAAATCGTCACTTCCTGATAAACTGGCACTAAATATCTCTTAAGAAAACTAGGAGAAGCCACTGAATATAATCATTTTCATATGTAATAAATTACTTGCGCTTCAGCGAGAGCAGACGTAACACAATAAATGCGGTCATTGCTTTTAGAGGTAAAATGCCTGCTGTTTGGGAACGCAGTCATGTAAGACAGTAATTATACAGAAATACTTTGATGACAGACTTTCCTCAGGCATTTCAGAACGACCAAAACAACATATAGATGCTGTGAACGAGATCGGTCCACTGGTTAGTCAATTTATCCCGTCTCATAGCGCAAAGACACAATACTTTTTCAATGCACATTCGGTAAATGTGTTTCCATCGTAGTTTATGCACATTTTTTCTTATCGGATAAAAAGTTTATCCTACTCAGTTGTGTGCATAAGTTTTTTTTTTTTAATGTGCATTTTTAGAATTTATGCGCATCTTGGCGTTTCCATCCAGCAGTTGAGGAAGAGATGTCTAATATTATTCCCCCCCCACTCACATGCAGTATCATTATTAGAAACATTTGTTTTTAATTATGACTGTATATTCCCAGTCTGCTTTTGTGCTTTTTCAGTCTCTCTCTTTCAGAAGATCTTCTGTGTGTTGCGTGAGCTTCTGGTTTTCTCTACCCTGTTATTAGGGGGCCTGACCTCAGAAAAGCTGGCAGGGAGCAGCCAGATGAGAGAGCAACATCAAATGCTCTCTGGCAGGGTGAATGCACATGGAAAAAAGATAGATATGAAATGTAAAGATGTTTGCCCTCTGAAATGCACAGATATTAACGTGCATATCTTTGCACTTTTCTGTCTCTAGCAGAGGTTGCCCTACAAATGCTTATTTGTGCTCTTAATTTTATCCGTCAGTGAAATTTCTTTATCTTTTATTCTGTTCTCGCAGTGTGAAAAAGGCAATGTAGATGTTTAGTAATCTGGTGACTCAATTTAATGAACATTATCCAATGAATTATTCCGGAGGACTGATTGGAATCTCTCATTTCTCTCCCCAAATCCTCAGTCACGTCTCTCTGTCTGTTTTTGCAGGGGTGCTTTAAAACTTAATTTTCTCCTCTTTTCTTGACTTCTAATCCAGATTATCTTCCTTTTAAAAGTAGAAATGTTTCTGAAGTTGCAGAAAGAAATAGACATCTCACCAAAATGTTAAAGGGATAGTTCACCCAAAAATGAAAATTCTGTCATTAATTAGGCCTACTCAACCCTCATGTTGTTCCAAACCCGTAAGACCTTCGTTCATCTTCTGAACACAAATTAAGATATTTTTGATGAAATCCAAGAGCTTTCTGACCCTGCATAGACACCAACGCAACTACCATGTTCAAGGCCCAGAAAGGTAGTAAGGACGTTGTTGGACCCACATGAGGGTTGAGTAGGCCTAATTAATGACCGAATTTTCATTTTTGGGTGAACTATCCCTTTAATGCTTTTCAAATTTGGTGAATGACCAATTAATGGTGGATAAATGACCATTTCAATTTAGTTGGAATGAGTTTGTGACTTAAAGGAGGATCTTTAGCATGAGATAATGAGAGAACAACAACAAACATATCGAATGAGGGAACTTGAGAAAAGCAAGATATACGAGACGTGTGGGGAAGTGCTCATCATTTAGAAGAAGTAGATATGACAAGCAAGCAGTAAACAGAGCACTGAAGTGAGAAAGAACAGACACATTTGAGTGAGAGTGAAGGATTTCAGGTAGTTTACGAGGCCTGAAGGTCTGTTAGTGTCATGAATGTGACGGGCAGCAGTGACAACTGCATTCATCACTGTCAACTCACTGTCATCAGATCTACACGTCCATATGCAGGTTTACTCACTGGCCGATGTTTCTTTCTTGCTCTTCCTGTCCATTCTACAGTGCCGTTCAATTTCAATTTAATTTTAACCTTAATCGTCTTTTGAAACAAGATCTTTTCATAGTTTTGCAAGAATCACATCCAATTTTTCTTTCATTATCTGATGTATTTGAGTAAAACAATAATAAATAACAAAAAATGTAGGATGGGACTTGAAAAGTGGCCGTTATAAACCAGCAAGTTATTACAGTATAGAATTCAACCATTCAAAGACTCCTAAAAAAATTTATACGTTTCCACCAAAAATATTAAGCAGCACAGCTATTTTCAACATTGATGATAAGGTATGTTTCTTGAGCAGCAAATCAGTATATTAGAATGATTTCTGAAGGATCATGTGACACTGAAGACTGGAGTAATGATGCTGAAAATTGAGCTTAACCATCACAAGAATAAATAACTTAAAAAATTTTTTTTTTAAACAAACAGTTGTTTTAAGTTGTAATATTATTAAAATGATAAATTAACGATAAAATCATTCAAAAATGCATTTTTATTTTATAAGAGGTCCCATGTAACTTTATGATGGTGTTACTGTTATTTCAGTCTAAAAATAAGGTTACAATTTAAGCTTGAGGGTATTTTGTAGGCCCAGTGAATGGATAAACGCCTTCCTAGAGCAAGTGATTCATCACAGAAGATCTGAAGAATTCTCACACTTCCTTTTCCTGAAATATCCCAGGAATGTAGAGTACAGGCCTGTCACCATGGCAACAGAAGTGATTGGAGTGTGTGTGGTCAGGATGGCCGGCAATACAGCATGTGAGCATATGGGGGAGTCTGTGATTTTATTCGCTAGGGTTAAACACAGGAAGAGAATACAGCTGAAGTGTTTTACGAGGTGATGATATGTGTTTACAGATGCGGTTTTACAAGGAAAGGTGACATGTCCCAACAAATACATCCCATTTCTTTGTACATTATCTCTTTGCGTGTGGTTTTATGGCGTTTTATGGAATGTAAACACAGCACTTTTGGTTTTATTTGGACCTTTCTTGAATACTTTATTAATTTAATACTAAATATTTTAATTGTTTTGAACACAAATCCTGTCCGATTAGTGCTTTGACATACATTCCTTCCCAAACGGATTCCCTTGTCCCTCATCTTTTTTCATCCAAGTAAATTTTTTCTCTCAGGCAGGACAGAGATATAGGTCACTGTGCAAACATGATGCATTTGGCAGATATAAGCAGCTCATGTTGTTGTGACTCTGAAACTTTCAGCTGGTGTTGGGTCTGGATGAGTGATTTCACTGAGATTTATTTATTTATTTATTTTTATTTAGTCATTTAGCAGATGCTTTTATCCAAAGCGACTTAAGATAAATCATAAAACTTTGAGCTGCAAACGAACAGCGCGCATCTGAAGTGTCTCTGAAGGAAATAATGCATTATTTATCGGCTTTAAGATATAGGCCAAATTTTCTTATCAGGCCGATACCGATAACAGAAAAAATGAGCATTTATCGGCCGATACCGATATGGTGGCCGATATATCGTGCATCCCTAAGATAAATCATAAAACACACACACCAGGCGACGTTTGACCTCTTAATTTACTTTTAACATCCAGCACGTGTGCGAGCTCTGAACGGCTCCAGACCATCTCGTGAAGCAGAAGAGGACTTTGTCTTTTAAAGCTAGCAGTGTGCTCTCAAATTCACTGCTAATGTCAGGATGAAGCATGTTCTAAAGCAGTGACCAGAGCACAGTGAGTCACAGTACTCCCTGACACACACACCCTGAGGTCCAACTAAACTCATCTCGGCTCTTTAAGTTCAAGTCTGGAAGATTGAATTGTGTTGCAAGAGCCTGATGGGTGTTTTAATTAAATAGAAGTAGACATGGAAAACCTGATATGTTTGTTTAACAAGAAGAAACATGCATGTAATACAAGTCATATATTGTTCCTCTGTTTTGTTTCTTCATACTGGATGATTCTGTTCAGGTGCCTTATTATGCTCAGCAGCGGGGCTCAATGAGTTAGAAGTCCTATAAAATGCCATGCAAATATACATTGTATTTCTTTCTTCCTTCCTTCCTTTATTTAAATGGCTTTAAAGAATTGGGACTCTTTTCGTAGTAGACACCTTGAGAGTATTTGGTTTAGCAGATTTGATCAGGTGTGTGTGTTGTGTGTTTATTTGTTTTTCTGCATTTGTATTGAAAGAGGAACAGGCTGTTCTTGAATTCGCAGACTCGCTTTCTCTACTTCCTCTATTTAATTTCAAAGCTAGACAACACCCTTTACCTTTCAGTATCAAAACAATGATTCATTCATCATGCCTTTTTTTAACAGTATATTGTGATGCCTAAATTCTCTTGTACCATTTAAAATTTATTAAGACAACATTTTTAAATATTAATATATAAATATTATGAAATATTTTAACAGTATTTTAATATATAATATTAATATTTTGTGGTTATTGTCCATATCAGGCTTATCGTTATTGGCTAGAATATTGGTGCATTTCTATTTGTATTGCTGTTTTAACCCTGAATCCTGTAACTTTTTGTTTGTGCAACTAATGGGTTGTTATACTTTCAGTTTAATTAAACGAATGTCACACATGAAGACAGTTTTCACTGTCCAATAGTGTAGGTCTCTTAATTTATAATGGCCTTCTGTTGTCCATTGTGGGCAGGCTTGAGGGAGGAGGCGAGACGCGAGCTAATCACTTTCTAAGCAGCTTCTGCGTAATCCTCCAGTGCGGGCAGTCGTTTCTGCTCCATCAACAGATTCTGCGATTTCTTCATTCGTTTCACGATAAATTTCGGATTTGTTTTGACCTGATTTGGTTTCCTCTTCTTGTTTTTTTTTCATTCGAAACCATGAGTAGTTTGTGAATCAGAAAGCAATGCTTCAAATACTTAACCATTGGAGTAACTTGAGCGCTTATTGAGTTTTGTGTTTTTAGTCTGCAGGAAAGCCTGCTGTGGATGAAAAATGCTAAAGGATCCTGTTGGGATGTGACAGTCCACCCCTCTGAGTTCAAACTCACTTTATTGAGTATTAAGATTAGCAACAGTCCTGGACAAAGCCTATTCTCCTCTAAATCTCAGAGAGACGACTGTTAGCAGGGGCTTACATATGCTAGCTCTTCACGCAGAGCGAAACTATCGCTAACTACATCTAGAGGAACATTGAGTCAAACGTTTCATGCTTGTCATGGTCTGCACGACCCGTTCAGGAATCCCAGTGAGTTTTTAGAGTTGGAAGTGGCAGAAGTTGTAGTCATGTACCTGCACTGCGGTGTTGTTGAGGATACGGATTCACTGTCCAGCTGGTGGAACGGGAATGTGGCGTCACTTTTGGACAACCACAGGTGGCAGTACGCACAGACGGGCAACACGCTGATTCAGCTGCCAGGTAAAGCTTTGACGCTCATGGCCACATCTGATACCAACCCACCATCTGTGGATAACACCCTTCATTGGTGAAATAAGGGGTGTGACTTGGTTGAAATTGCTCATGTTATTAGCTTAGCAGAATGACTAGCTGTTTGTTGAGTTGTAGATTGGTTGTGACTTTTGTAGGGTATATGGAAACAAATAATGTGGAACTCTTTGATAAAAATGTTATGCAAGGTTTACTAGCCAGCGCAAATGTGGAGAATGTGCAACTAAGGGAATGAAAGATACATTTTAATCTCAGTCAGTATTCATATTTGTGTGCACACAAACGCCCTCGCTCAGTTTTTGTAAATTTCAATATAGTTGTATTTTATTTTGTTTGATTAAAAATGTAATTTAATTTAAATTATTTCATTTTATTTAATATTTTGATGATTCAAGATTTAACATTTAAAATATTTAAAATTTGTAATAGTCAAAATTCATATTTGTGTGTCCATTGTAACTTTAGTTTATTTTTTATTCAGTTATGATATGTTATGTTTATGTTCTGGAATGTTTTGTTTATTTATTTGGAAAATGATTGTATATAATAATATCTTAAATATATTCATATTTTACATTTTTATTAATATTTATGAAAGTATTGATTTTTAATACTAATTTAATCAATAGTATTTTTACAAAATATGTTTATATATTTTAATAAATTGTCAAATAAGTTAGAAGTTTAGTTAGAAGTGTTAATTCTGCGACCCTGCTTGATTTAAAGATGGGCTTTATCTGTACTAGTGGTCGACCAACATGGGTTTTTTGACAGCCGATGCCGATATCTTTGAAAGCAGGGTGGCCAATGGCCGATAAAAGTTTATTAATTTGAATTCATATTTAAGAAATTTGAAATCATTTGAAAATGGATAAAAAAATAAATGTGTAAAATAAACATACTTGTACTTTAAAAGACAAAGTATTTTTCACAAATAAATAAATATTTAATAAAAATGTAATTAAAAGGGAAGTAAACACCCTAACCAACAGGGCTCTCTGTATTCTGGGAAGTTTGTGTGCATTGGGATTCAAATTTTTCAAATAAAGCCAAGGTAACACTCATTTTACATACAGAACAGAGAAAATGACATGAATATGGCATAAAGCACAGCATAATTTGAATTCACGAGTTTAAAGTTTGTCGATCGCACGTCTTCAGTCAAGCTGAACTCTCCTCCTGTCAGCATTCAATTCGCACAGAGCGACCGTCACGCAGAGAACACGCGATCGTGCAGGATACAAATGCACACTTCACAAGATCTCAACTAGATTCGACTAAGTCTGCAAGGTTTGTGAAATTAAATGTTCATTAGTCATTCAAAGATTTGTTTAAAGGATATAAATGCGTATTTGCTGAATGCTGACGGCAAACGAGAAAGTATTATAATGTTTGCCTTTCTATTACTAATAATATTAAAGCAATTGTTATAATACTTTTTTGACAGTTTTATCTAATTATTAGATAGACTTCTATTCGTATTTGACAGAATGACGACAGGGTTACAAGTCCGACTCTCTAACCGTTAGGCCACGACTTCCCCACATGTTTATTATTGATTAATAAATAAACTGGAGAATGTGAGCGGTGTGTGCTTAGGCGCTGCCATTCTCAGCGCCGTCAAAATAAAAGTCCCGCCTCGAACACATCGGCCAAACAGAAAAACATATCGGCCGATGCTGATATTTGAAAAATATAATTATAATTATAATAATAATGATAATAATTCCTTACATTTATATAGCGCTTTTCTGGGAACTCAAAGTGCTTTACATAGAAGGGGGAATCTCCTCAACCTCCACCAGTAGGGATGTAACGATTCACCGCGAGCCGGTTGAAAATCGATTCAAATATGTGACGATTTAAATCGGTTGAGATGCTAAACAAATCGCGATTCAATTAGGGGTAGGAGTTTATATGAATGTATGTCTGAGGGGAACTTACTGTCTTTAGAAAAGTTTAGATGGTATTTTTTCTTTTCCTCTTGCCTCTGTATAATGCATATTAAAGTTTATAAGTGCAGGGCTGCTTTGTTTACAGAGGAAACCAAAGAAACGCTTTAAGCGCCACCTGCTGGCAGAGAGTGAAGCTGCGTCTCATTCAGCTCGTCTGCTGTTTCTGTTTCATGCTGATATTTTTATGTTTAGTTTCACAAAACTGAAGTCAAACCATTCTGTTTTTGCTTCAAATTTCGAAATTATACAATCTAATTTAGATTAAAAACTAC